TATATAGACTTTAGGAAACATTCTGTTAGAGTTCAAGGAAGTAAATTTTATTACATTTTTAACCTTTTGCTTTCATTAAATAGGTTTGTTAGGGGATGCTAGTGTCACCTCTACAAGTAATTTCCAATAGGAAGTTGTGGTTGTTTGCAGAAGTGTACCTAATGGGCTTTTAAAATATATTTTCTGTAGAAATATATTATTAAAGGAAACTTATTTTAGTTTTAACTACCAAGGATTAGGGGCCGTTAGCCTGTTTTTCCATCCATTGAATAAGAGTTGAATCAGCATTTTGTTCTAAGCTAATAGTGGCTATAATCCTGGCCTAGAACTGACTAAGGTAGAGGAGGGACTGAGGTTTGGTAAGAGGAAAGTGTGAAGGAGAAAATCTGAACCAGGGTCTCCATCAAATTGAAACTTCCAGGATACATCATGGTTCTAAGTGGCTCTCCTATCCCACTGTTTTCTTCTGTGATTCTCTGTGATTTCCTTTTTATTTCTTCTGTGATTTCCTTTTCATTTCTATCATCTGTAGTTTGCAACCAGTTTTTCACCTTCCCTGATCTCTGCAGAAGAGATTGTACTTTTGAATCTTCTCTCCTACATTTGTGTTTGTGAAGTAAGCATGCTAGTGTTTTTGCTATTTGTAAAAGGAAACATTCCAGAAATAAATTTTGTCTGCACCACAAGGATCTTTCTCCCTGACACCCAGTTAGCATTTTGAGGGGAGAAAATTGTGTGTGTGTGTGCACACACATACTATTTATGTTTCAGAGGAAAGTGTGATTGAAGTTTAGTGGACTTATTATGAAAGTTAGGCAGTTATAGTGGACTTATTATTAAAGTTAGGCGCAGGCAGCAGAGACTCTGGCCCTAGATGGGAGGGAAGAAACTATAAAGAGTATAGGAGTCAGCTGCTTTGGGTGCTGGGCTATAGGAAGGGCAGTGATCTTCCTGACCTAGAAGAACAGAAAGTAGAATTCATATGCCCCTTTGCTGAATTTGAAAATATTTAATTCTTTTATCCCACAGGGAGACTTTAGCACAAATGATAGAAGAAAATTTGAACTGTCTTGGCCATTTAAGCACTATTATTCGTGAAGTAAATGAGGAACAGGGCAGTAGTATGATGGTAAGTTTTGTGTGGATATGGGTGTGTATTTTAGGTATGCTGGATACGAAGGGTTAAGTTTCTGTGCTAGCCTTATGTGGCATTCAGGATACATGTAGTGAATAGAAGCAGAGGAAAAAGTATATGAGGAGTATCCTCAAACTCAAATCCCCATTTTTGTTACTCAGATGTATACTTAGGATTATGTCATCAGTAAATATCAACAATTTTGGTCAAATTAAGCTTTCTTTGCAGTGTGATCACTGAAATAGAATGGTTCAGCAATCAATTTTATCCAATAAGATGGGACTTGTACTATAATTCTCATATAGTCCCTGCTGCATATAAAATGAATTATGTTAAGATAGTTGTAGTTAATAAAAGTAACTAGGTTAAGATTTGGTTACTATATTGATTCATTAAAACTTGAATAAACTACAATAAAATGTTTACTGAATTAACTTTTACAGCATTTAGTCTCAATATCAACTTTTTCATCAGAATAATTATTTGCCTCAAATTTTTATGAAAAGTCTTTAAAATATTTTTAAGATGACCAAAAAATGAGGATAAGCTAAACTACAATTTGTAACTTCTGTGTTTTTGCTTTTTTAACCTTTGATTACAAAATATCCAAACATACAAAAAACTTCAAGAACATCCATGTACTTATCACTTATAGTCAACTTCTAATTTTAACTTTTTCATGCCTGGTTTTAGAATCTTGATTGGAGTTGGCTAACAGAATGACTTGCTACTTGTTCACTGTCCTCAAACCTATGGAAGTTGTTGCTGCACATGTTGGAAGTTGGTTTTTCCTCTATGAAGCTATTCTTCTTCACACACCAGTCAGTGGAAGCAATGACTGTGATCAAAAACTACCAAGATTTTACAAGCACATTATCCTGATTTTTGAATAAAGTAAACTTTCAAACAGGATTTTATTTTTTAAAAAGTCACTGGACATATTTAGATTTTTGTTTTAATACTATAGCTACTTTGGAGCATCATTGGAGCTTCTTCAAATCCGGTAAAACATTACTTGTTTAACTGACAATAGTACCTTCTAAAGTTTTAATTTTTAGGTATAAGGCCATAGTATTGTACATAGAACATGCATTTTAAGTAAAAGTGTATACTTATGTTTCTGTGGAAGAAACTGTTCACAAGTTACTTCTTGAAAAATAAGCCTTACTTCCTTGTGTTGCACTCATTAAGTGCTCTTCCTGGCATAAGGAGTTGGCTCGATCCCATTTTTAATTTTACTACATATTTTAACAGTGTCCCCTTCTTACAGAAGGGATTGTGCATCTGTGCCTTTCATACCAGTTGAATGATAAAATATGTTGTGCGCTATATGTATATGTATTTAAGATGTACATTTAATAATATCAAAGACATACCTGTTAATTTATAATGTATTTGAAAATTTATGGTTTTTTTTCATTTGTAAAAATGGGTTGTTTAAACAATCAAGTCTTGTCATACAAGTTTATAAGGTCTACATTCCCTTATCTGAAATTGTAATTTCAAAAACCAAGAAGCTTTGAAAACAAGGTTTTCATAAGTTTGGTGACAAAATTAATTTGCTTTCAAATCTAATCTGAACTGATATTGAATCTGTTTATCCCATTTAGTGTGAATATTCATGTAATTTGCTGCAGAAATAGTAACATTTTTGATTATTGGGGGGGTGGAATTATGTCACAGACTCTTGAGGGTTAATGTAGTATGTTATATGCACTAAATTCCTTTCTAAAGTCTGAAAATTTTATGATTCTGAAACATCTGGCCCCAAGGCTTTCAGATAAAGGATGTGGATCTCTATCTTCTGTTAAATAATTTAGAAGGTATTATGTGTTTTAAAAAATGTGAAATGCTTTTATATTTTAGTTTTTCACTTTGTATATTAAACAATTTTTAAATTCCATTTTGAATTTCTACTCATTATAAGAACCAGTTTATAATATAACAGTTGAATATGGAATTTGGGAAAATATGAAGGTTCATGGAGTAAAATTGGAGCACAGAATTATGTGATAGGCTATCAAGTATGGTAAATATTGGGCAACTTCTTTAATATAGTGGTTTCCCTTTGTTTCTCTAAAGATAGTAATTCCATCCCTACCAGCTATTATAACAGGTAGTCTCTATTATAGTTTCCCTAGTTCTAAAAGGCTTTAATAATAAACATTACTGAGTATCTGTTGCTCAGAAGATATTAGTCTAGATATTAAGATCAGAAACAACACAGGCAGTTCAATAAAAATACTTACCTGGAAGTCTGAACATTGATGGCTATTGTTCAAGAATTTTTTTCAGCAATCATTCATTTTCTAAATATCGTTGTAATAATTGAGTAAAGATTTGCTACATGGTGGGGTCCATTTTGCTGATATGTGGATAGGGTCTTATCCAGACAGCTTGATCTACCTGGTTTGGACAGGTGCTATTAGTCAGAACAGACTGTTAAATAACTCCAAACTTGCATGGACTACTTTGTGTGGACTACTCTTTTTGGGGGGTAATAACTTTTCAAAGTTGAATGAAAGTTGTGAACTCTAGTCTAAGCAATATTATGACAAATTAAGAGAAATGTATACACAAAACCCAGGGGCTGGAGCAAATTGTTTTTCATTCATTTTGCTTTTTTGGAAGTTAAGGTAGCTAAGCTCTGCAAATACCATTTATCTAGGAGCAGACAAGAACCCAGACATTTCTAGGTAATAAAATCAAATGAATGGCACAGGTAAGTGTATTTATCAAAAGGAGTAGCTACAGTTATCTCATTCTATTTACCTTTTCTCACCTCCACTGCTAATAACTACTGTTATAACTTTGGACCTGTAGTTTCCTAATCCCATAAGGTCCCAGCCTCCAGTTTGTCTCCACTTTCAGCCATTTTGCAGATTTATTGGCTCTAAAATATTACGTCCCTCTATTTCCCTGCCCAAGAGATTAGGAGTTCCAACTCTAGTCTATCTTGTGCAGATGTGGCCACACCAGGCAGGCTACTGTCCTCAAGGCTTACACCAACTTATTCAAATGTGAATGTCCTTATTTATTTCCCTCGTATTCATCCACCTCACTAAAACCTTACCCTGTCCTTTCCCCCTTTTTATTTTTGGTAATATATGCACATGGTGCAGAATTCTTGAAGAACAGAAGAAAATGCAGGGGGGGAAAAGTATTTCTGTTGGTTAGCCAACCAGTCCCCCTATCAGTAGGACAATGCATTCTATACTTTCTAGATCTTGTCCTAGACTAGCCTACTAAACCACACCTTACTATCATAAAAGATGTTAAGGAACCTCAGTCACTTCTTTTTGGTCTCCCTGGAGGACAGGTCCCCAAGCACCGCAAATATTTTGCCCATTTTATTCCTGTTTTCTCTGTGGCCTTCATAAAACCCTAGTCAGTCAGCATTCTAGCACATAAAAAATAAACAATAACTTGGCGAGTGAATGATGCAGTTAGATCGGAATAGCTTCTTCGTCTGAACTTAAATAGGACTTTCTTTGAAACAAGCAGGTTACTCCTGAAATGCAGAGTCTGAGCCAAAACCACGTGCTTGCCCCACACATTAGAAGTGGCCATATACCACAAAGGATATTAAAAAGTAACAGCTCGACACTTAAAGTGAGGAAGTAGGTTTTCTGCAAAAGAACTGAGAAGTCTCCTATTCGAGTGGCCCTTTCCATTCCTCTGCCTCCCTGCTAGTCCAGACTACCAATTTATCTTCTAGAGCAGCTGATAAGTAGTACACGGAAAAGGACCTGACGCTCCTTCGCAAGGCATTGCGCAGCCTAGAGGCTGGGAGAATTTTGTCCCGCCTGCTCCCCGTCTAGCTAGTCACGGAGGGGCGCTGCGTCTGTGTGCGTCCCCGCGCAGCCGCAGTGCCGGCGAGTGGGCGGGACCGGTGGTTGGCGGCGTTTGGCGCGTCCGGGGAGGCGGCTGCACGTGCGGGCGGGGGCGATGCGTCACTGATCGGTGAGGAGCGGCGGAGGGGTCGGCCTACCTCCGAAGCCTGCGGCTTGGGACCCTTAGCAGTTAGTGCTTTCCTCCGGGGGAGTGGCCGTCGAGAGAAGGGTTGCCACGCTCACCGCGCAGGGGCGGGCCGCGGGCCACCTAGGCGGAGGGGTTGACAAGGGGAACGCCTGCTAAGCGAGGAGAGCAGAATGAGGGGAAAGGGGTCCGGGACTCCCCGTCTTAGATGGAGAAAGCGCGCCAGGTCTCCTGGAGGGAAAGGGTGGAAATTAGAGGGGGCGAGCCTGTTACTTCCAGACTGAGGGTCCTTTCCTCCCTCACCCAGGAGGAACAAGGATGAATATGACTCAAGCCCGGGTTCTGGTGGCTGCAGTGGTGGGGCTTGTAGTTGTTCTCCTCTACGCCTCCATCCACAAGATCGAGGAAGGACATCTGGCAGTGTACTACAGGTGAGCAGCATGTGCGGTCCACCAGGTTCTAGAGCAGACCCGGTACTTACGTCAGAGTGGAATCTGGGAAGTTGTTGCCACTGCAGCATCCTGGGAGTACTTCCCAATCCGGAGAAGAGATTTTTTTAATAACCCTTGAGAAAGCACGGGGTGAAGCAGAATTTTGCGGAGCACCCTCCAAGTGTTAAGCAGTTTTAGTGTTGTGTTTGCTTTGTGCAGAGGTTAAGACTCAGGAAAGGAAGTAGTCACTGTAACTGAAGAGATATATTAATAATTTGTAATCGGTACATCTGTACAGGCTTTTAGTTTGCCACTCCAGATGCTCTTTAGGAAATCTCGTCCTATTTATGTTTTTTCTATTTTTCCATTAAAAACCTTCCAGTGACTGGTTATGTTTTATAAGCTTTTATGACCATGTCAGTTGTTTTGTCCCTGGTTCTCAAGGAATGTAAGCCCAACACTGATGGGCTACTCCTTACCCATTCAAATCAAGGAAAGAAATGTATGAATTGTGTTGCCATCTAGTTAAGCTGGAGTAGTTTTTCCTTAAGCATAATAACCACCATTTCCTTTTGATATAGACTAGTAAAAGAAAACAATTTGTGGAGAAATTGGGCCAGTGGTGTATTCAAAAAGAGGTTTAACCTTTTGCATATTTTCATCATCCACCTAAAACTGGTATTTCTACTTTTATATGCATCCTGAATTGTTTTTTTTTAAAAGTACAATTTTAATGGCGTATCTTAGCAAATGGAACTCTAGCATAAGAAATGACAGCTTTGTCCAGATTTTCATCCAATTTGGCATTGTCTTTCTGACAGTAAAGGAGAGAATGTTTCAAGAAACAGCTTTCAGAGAATTATCAATGAACCTCAAACAGTTCATCTTTTCTTATTTTTGTGGCTTCTTTGCAAACCTAGGACTTCTTTGTTAGGTTTGCTCCCCAAATACCTCTTTTTTATAGTTTTCAGCATACTGAAATTCCAGAATTTGGTGAACAAGTTCATATGTTGCCTGTTTATAGTTTGAACCTTCCCTCCGTTTATCTTTCCATGCTAAATTTTTTTTGTTTTTATACAGAAACTTTATGTTCCCAGTATTTTAGTTGTCTTGCAGATAGATAAAAGAATTATGTGCCTTAGAAATTTCCTCTTTCCTTGAAAGTTTGTATTGCTATCTTCTTTTTTTCAACCTAGTGATTAAATGTTCTAGGTTCTGATTTGCCTCTTGTTATGTACAATTAAAGTACCTCAACTAAGAGCCATTAGAATTTTTTTCACAAATATTTCTCAGAGGGCTAAAGATCAAAGGGAAATCCTTTGAACCTGAAAGTGGTGCTGGAAACCCAGAGGTATGGATGGTAAAGCTTATGAAACAAGGTGTAACATTGCAATTTTACTTTTACTTTTTTTTTTTAAACCGTTTTAGCTATGTAGGTATTTTAAGCTGGGTTTGTTGGCATGAGTAACTCCTCTGAGGCTTTAATAGCTTAGCCACGAGTAAAATTCTATAGCATTTTAGGTTTGAAAAGTAAGACCTATAGCATTTTGGGTTTGAAAAGAGAATTTCTCTTTATAATTTTGTCAAATTGAAATATCTCTTTGCAGGGGAGGAGCTTTACTAACTAGCCCCAGTGGACCAGGCTATCATATCATGTTGCCTTTCATTACTACATTCAGATCTGTACAGGTGAGTGATTCCTAGGGATTCCAGAAATACAAGTGTGACAAGTTGCCATATTCATGGGTAGAGATAGATTTCCTTATTGCTTAAGCAGATGTTGTTATTTACTTAAATGCAGGAGTTCAGAGTACAGTTGTCACAGAACAAGTTATGATTTTGAACTATCTCACATTTGAAGTAAATTAGAAGTGTGAGCTAGGCAGTTTGGAAGGACTGACTTCTACCATCTGTATAATGTTATGTAGCAGGTTTTCTTTTGCTTCTGTTAAAACAAAAGCAAGAATTAGAAACACAACTAGAAATACAAGCAAGTGATTACGGTTAGATTACTTTTTGGTTTCCATAGAGGCAGGCTCCTGGGCTACTATTAACATGAAAGATCTGAATTTTTATACACAGCTTTTCTGCCTCAGTTTTTGCCTGATACATTAAGAACAATTTTATGTGGTATTTTGACAGGATCCCAGAATATTTGAAATAAGTGTCTGGTTATTGAAAAGAATACCTTTCCCATGGGAGACACTTAATAGGTATCTTTTGACATAAGGTAACAAAATAGGATTAGACTATTATAACTTTTGCATATTCATTATGATCATACATCTTTGGATTTAGAAGTTTGTCTACCATCTGCTGCTAATTTTTCAGGAATCAGGAAAATTCAGTGTTATTTAATCTTATAATTTTAATTCTAGGCTTCCTGCTGAGTGAGTGCTTAATTATGAATAACTAAATCCCCCAGATTTTCTTCCAGATCCCTTGTAGACGGCTTAGGAAAAGACTTGTATTTATTGAAGTGAAATGTGGTGTTCTTTCCCTAGTTAAACTGATTTCCATTTTATTTTCCCATATTTGTTCATTTTTGCCTTGATTGATGAATGCTATCATGTCTTCACTTGCCATCTTTCCCTCCATTCCTCTTCTCCTTCCTAAATCTGGTCAGCCATTTTTAGGTTCATACCAGATTCCTTCTCTTCTAATCTATAGCTCTTTAAATCTGTATTATAAAGTTTGACCCTTGGTCTTATGTCCTTTAATAATAATTCTCTTGTATTGTTTTCTAAATTTCTGTGTGTGTTTTCTTTCCAGAAAATCTCTTTTAAGTTTCTTGAAGTCAAGAGCTATAACACATTTATATTTCTGACCTTTCTATTTGTGGTAGAAGTTGTTACAATTTGAGAACGATTTCTCAGAAATGTGATGTAGTGAAGATGGGGACTGCCATCAGTTGATTCCATGATTTGATAAAATCACTTCATTCTTGTAGACATCAGTTATTCCTCCGTGAAAGAAGGAATTTTAATTGCATGACCTTACCAACAGCTTCAGCAGTCTATAATGTTATTACACTGGTGCCATTAAGCAGATTTTAGAGTTTAATTGCATATATAACAATTATACTATATGTGATATGTATATATTTTATATATATATATATATATATAGAGAGAGAGAGAGAGAGAGAGATTGAGATTCAAATGAAATTAGTAGAAAGATTTCAGCTTAAACTAGTATAATTTGCATCTACAAAAAATTAAATGTGGAGCCGGTGTCCTTCTTTATATATGAGACAGTAATAGTCTAGGAAAGAATTACACTAATAAAATTTTTTTTAAGAAAGTGTTCTTATAAGACATAAAGAACATAATTTTTAGGAATTTTTGGAACACATTAGAAGACCTAACCCAATGTCAACAAATGTCTTAACAAACTTGATAATTGAAAGAAATACATTTGAATGTGAAATCCTATATATGGAGAGAAAACAGTGCTTAGAGAAATTATACAAAAACCTTCAACTTAAAGTATACATAACATAGAGTCACTTTTAAAATTAATATTCTGTCATACTTGGAAAATAATTTTTTTTTAATATTTATTTTTTAGTTGTTGTAGTTGGACACAATTCCTTAATTTACTTTTATGTGGTGCTGAAGATTGAACTCAGGGCCTTGCACATGTTAAGCAAGCACTCTACCGCTGAGCCCCAACCCCAGCTCAGAAAATAATTTTTAAAGAATATAAAAGTACATAGATAGAGTATATTAAATTGAAGATTTAACACCGAACTAATTACTAGTTATTCTTAGTTTAAAAGTTGGCTGGGCAATATCCTTTAGGTTTAAATAGGAATGCATATTTTACTTTATGTGGAACATGGAAATTGAATTAGTATGGTGGTTTGAAAGAAATAAAATAAATTAAACTCATTTCATCATCAGCTCCCCTCACTTTACCTAAAACTATTATAAATGCTTACCATCATCCCACTCTTTCAACTCAAGAATTATATTTTCTTCTTTTCTCTTCTGGAATTTTCTATTTAACCAAATATCACATCCTTTCTGTATTATGTCTACTGGACTGAGCATTCAGTTTTCATGATCTTTACTAAATTAACCTAAACAAAGTAATTCTTTAGCTTTCCTACTGATTTTCTTGCCTCCAGATAAGATGAATGATGAGAACTGCATCACATATGATCAAAGGAATTAAGTAAAAGACATTTTCCCCCAAAGCTGGTGATTGAATTCAGGACCTTATGCATGATAGGCAAATACTCTTAACTCTGAGCTATGTCCTCAGTCCTTCAATTTTTTTGAAAGGTTTATTTTATGACTGTATATAAGATGGACTAGAAAAAAAACTTCCAGCCAACATTCAGGGGCCTCTACCTAATATATTCTCTTCTCATAAGTCACGTCTTATCTAAATTGTGCTTTCTGCTTCAAACCAACCAATCTTCTTCCTGTCACATGTATACACAAGTTTGTCTTCAACTTTTTGTATTTGAATGTGGTATTTATTGAAATTAAGATGTTCCTCTGCTTCCTTTGTTCTTATTACTCCCCCTCTAGATTTGGCTTGTAAATACTTCACCTAAGAGAGCTTTTCAAGCTATTATTTTATGCCCTGTAACTTAACACCCAAAAGTTAACTTTATTCTCTGTTATTTTGTACCTGTTGATGGATTGTTTTATAAGGATTTTGTGTCCTGTGCAGGATTAGGACATTTTGGAAACAGGAACTAGGCTTCATTTTTCTTTTATATTCCATAAAATGGTATGTTGCTGTCATTTGGTAAGGTGCATTGTGTCTAGAATATACTTATTAGCAGCTGACCTGTTTGAGGCCTTAGAGTACAAGTAGGAAGTCATTCTGATTCAAACAAAGGTGTGACATGGCAGAGCGATTCAGTACCAGATTGTTGGTTCACTAGGAGAAAGCACTACTGGTTTGGCACTTATATTAAAAAGGAAACTTAACATGTGAGAGATCACTAGGTCCTAAACTAAAAATATTGACTGTAGCATTAGAGAAGAAAGATTGCTGTTAAGTTCAAGGGTAGCTTTGAGTCATAAGGTACTTGTACACATAAAATAGTTATCTTTTATCTTCATTGTAAATAGTAATGTTAGCAGTGGAATCAAAGTTCAGAGCACAAATCTTGACCATAGTGCCTTGTGGGTGAGCTTTTGTAGTTTGCTGTCCCTGGGTAAGTCCAGGCAAATAAGGAACTCCAGAGTTTTTTACTTACTAGCAGATTGAACATTGAATCTTTCCTAGTGCATTTTAATTGAACCTTAGTTATAAAATCTTGTCTGTCTCAAGTCGCATTTCTAATAAGATAAAAAAAGAAATGACTACTCTGATACTTAATCTTTGGGGAACTAAAATTTTGACGAAGTTCTCCTGTTCTTTCTCTCAGAGCCCTCCAGAGATTTGCCTCTGGAACTGGCAGCTCTTTGATAATATGTGTCCTGAGTTTTATTTGTTTTTCCTCCCCAGACAACTCTACAAACTGATGAAGTTAAAAATGTGCCTTGTGGAACAAGGTAAGCTTTATCCTTGTTGACCACCCTCCCTTAGTTCAGATGGAGTATTGTTCCTAAAATTGTGATCACTTAGGCACTTTTCAAATAAGCATGATAGTAACCCAGAGGGATTTCTGATATAAGCATTATTTGAGAAAAGATCTGTCTCCAAATAGGAACTTTCCATCTTAGGAACCAATAGGGTGCTATTGAAAAAGGTAGATTTTACAGAACCATTATAACTAACTGTATATCAGTGTTACTACATCTGTTTTAATGATTCTTTTTTAAGGTAGACTTTATTTTTTTAGAACAGTATTAGGTTCATAGCAAAATTGAGCAAAAAGTACAGTGAGTGTCCTCCTCTTACCCTGCCCCATATGTCTTTATTGACTTTTCTAAACTTAGTTTCCTCATTTGTAAAAATCAGGCAAAAGCAGTTATTATAAGGATTAGAATTAGTATAAACGAAGTACTTATTTCAGCACTTGACCCAGAGTAGATGCTCAATGAAAAGATAGTTTAAAATTAATTCATTTCATCATCTTATTTGTAGTACTAAATGCCATCTAATTTAGAGTTTCTGATTCAGTTAAGTCTGGAGAGGCCTTTTTTCTCCCCTGACAACACTACAAACTAATGAAACTAAAATATGCCTTGTGGAACAAGGTAAGCTTTTCTAACAAAAGTTTCTGGGTAGTGCTGATGCTTCTGGTCTGAAGACTTCAATTTGAAAATTGCTGCCCTAAAGAAGTTTAGGGAAAGAAAGGCAAGCGAGGACCAAATTATTTCTAGAGAATACTCACTACATTGAAGTGTATTAAAAGAAGAATGTCAAGTTCAAGGTATTTTTTAAATCACCTATTTTAAATGATCTAAAGTAATATTATAAGCCTACAAAGAAGCTTTTGACATATATAAAAGGACAGAGATACTTTTAAATAGGGACCATACTCTTCATATTTTAAGTTAATGTATTTGATTGTCAAGTTCTGTCTAGGTCTGTCTGTAACTCTTCTTTATGGATTCTATTTACTGGCTCACATTTGTCTCATTTCTTTGATTTTTAGTGGTGGGGTCATGATCTATATTGACCGAATAGAAGTGGTTAACATGTTGGCTCCTTATGCAGGTATGTTAACTATCTGTCATTTTTATAGTTATAACCAGAGTATTATAAATGAGATATTTCCTGAGGAATACGAAGGCATTTTTAAAGTTTTATAACCTCATTGATTACTGATAAATATAAAGGATTAATCATTGAATATTTTCCATTACTATAGAACAGAGGTAGAAATAGGTCTCAGGCTAGGCATAGTGATACACATCACCTATAATCCCAGTGGCTCCAGAGGCTGAGGCAGGAGCATCCTAAAAACAAGGACAGCGTCAGCAATTTAGTAAGGCTCTAAGAAAAGTAGAAATAAAAATAAAAAATGAAAGGTCTTGGAATGAGGCTTAGTGGTACAGCATTCCTGGATTCAGTCCCCAGTGGGCACCCCAACACACCCTGCAAAAAAAAAAAAAATATATATATATATATATATATATATATGTATGTATGTATGTATGTCACAGATTCCGGACAGAATTGATTTTCTACAACTCCATGATTTACTTGTCTCTGAGCTTAGTGTTTCTAAGTGCAAGATGGTCATTGATTATTTCTAGAACAGGGATATAGTATTGTATCCAATGAGAATAGGAGGTAATTTCCTTTTATGATAAAAGCCTATAACTGATCATTTCCTTGAGTCACACTGATTTTTCATCTTAGAGAAATCTTTTCTAGTTGAGATTTGCTATAACTTGGAAAGCAACCACAAAGTTCTTGGTGTAGGGGAAAGCATTTTCCTGGTAAAAGATGAAAACTTACAGATAGAGTAGGTAATGTTTAATTCAGAAACTTAAAAAAAGATAGAACATTCCTGAAAAAAAGATAGAACATTTTGTCTTTAATGATGATAATAAAATTTGCATGCCTAGTATGTAGAAGATATATGTTTGGCAAGAACAGTTTAAAAAGGTGAAGTTATAGCTTTTGCCACCAAGGAGTTTTTATTTTACTTGAGAAGACTTAATACGGACTAGAGAGAGAGAGATTAGAATGTGAGATTCTGATTATGACAAATTTCACATCACTGATACAGGTACAAATAGTGAAAAGGTTTCAGAGAATAGCAAATGTATCATGTCAAATGGATTTGAGTCATATTTTTAAAGATTAAGTATTTTCCTAGTCTTTGTACATCCAGTTGGCCCTCTGTATCTCACAGATTGAATGAACCACAGATTAAAATTATTTGGGAAAAAATTATGTATACACTAAACATACAGACTTTGTTTCTCTAAACAATGTAGTGTAACGACTATTTACAAAGCACTTACATTGTATTAGATATTGCGAGTCATCTAGACCTGATTTAAAATGGATAGAAGGATATGCATAATTTATATGCCAATAGTATACCTTTTTATATACATGTATAAAATTTGATATCACTTTGATGTTTTGAAACCAATCCCTCGTGGATACGAAAGGGATGACTGTACTTCACCTGGTCAAAAATCATTGGAATGGATTATGATTGAAAAAAAAAAAAAAGTTGAGCACAGTATTACACACCTATAATCCTAGCTACTCAGGAAGCTGAGTCACAAGGATCACAAGTTCAAAGCCATTCTAGGCAACTTTAGTGAGATCCTGTCCAAAATAAAAAGGGCTGGGGGTGTAGCTCAGTGCTTGCTGAACATGGATGAGGCCCTGGTACCCTATTACCACAAAAAAAAAAAAAAATCCCTAGTACACACAGATACAAAAAGAAAAAAGGAAGAAGTTAGCTCTAGTCACAGCTAAATAGGAAACTTAGATCGCCAATTCATTTGGAAAATGATCAAGCCACATGATTTAGTCAGCAGTTATATATTGGTGGCCTATCCATCAATTGTGGTCTGGAATCCAGTTGCGTCTAATATCATACATGAGAAGGCCAGTGGGGCAAGTCTTTGTGTCTGAAGCCAGGCACAAAAAGCAGCCTGTTTTACTTGTTTAGTTGGTAGAACATAGATTCTGACGTGGTATATTATGTACTTTGGGGGATATTTCTGAAATTCTCTGGTTCTTAACTTCCTACTTTGAGAAATTAGGTGATTTTGGTTTTGGGTTTGGGGTTTGTTTGTTTGGCTTTTTGGTAGTGGTGTTTTTTTGTTTTTGTTTGTTGGTGAGAATTAAGGACTATTGTATGTAAATTGCCTGACATTGAGTCTAGTATAGTAATTAGTCTAGTATAGTAATTCTCTTTTAGCCTAGTGTTTTGTTTGGTTGGTCAGTTGGGGGTTTTTTGTTTGTTTGTTTGTTTGTTTGTTTTTCCTTTTTGAAGTACTGGGAGTTTGCATAGGACCTTGTGGTTTTGCTAGGCAGGCAATCTACCACTTAGCTACATACCCAACTTTTTTTTTTTTTTTTTTTTTGAGACAGGTTCTCACTAGTTGTTCAGGCTATCCTTGAACCTGAGATTCTCCTACATCAGCCTCCTGAGTAGCTGGTATTATAGGCATGCACCATTGTTCCTGACTTAGGCCGGTGTCTTTTTTTACAACCTTTGTAAACTGCTTACAAAATGATCTTTTGTAGCTGCTATCTTCTTTTATTCTCATTATTCCTTAATTAATTCAGTCCCTCTTTACCTTTTGGCTAAACTTTTTCTAATAATCATCTTATACTTTTCCTCCTTTTCAATTCATCTTCACACTGCTGCCAAAGTACAAATCTGTGTCATGCCCTTACCTGAAAACTTTAACACTTACCTATTACTTCCAAAATAATGTACGTTTTCCTAAGTATAGAATTTGGGTTTTGCCTATTAGTGTTCTGAATGTAAGAATATCCAGAAAATTGAGCCCTATAAACCCATCAAGGTATGTGAGTTGTGTTTTGTTTTTACTATTTTGTTTGCACTTTTCTTCATGTATAATAATAATCCCTGTAACTTATCCTGGCGGATTTGAAGATACCTGGGTTATTGTTGTATGAAACAAACATGGTCGTACCTTTCCTTCAGTGTTTGATATCGTGAGGAACTACACTGCAGATTATGACAAGACCTTAATCTTCAATAAAATCCACCATGAGCTGAATCAATTTTGCAGTGCCCATACACTTCAAGAAGTTTACATTGAATTATTTGGTAAGTGATTTGTTTTAAATATGAAAATAGTCAGAAATTTTTTTAATTCATATCTTAAGTTAAAATTTCACATATAACTTGGTAGAGATCAGAAAAACTTAACTCACATACTGTGTATTCTGGGTTTTTTGTTTATTTGTTTGCTTTTTTTTTTTTTTTTTTTGGTACAGGGTATTGAACCCAGGGTCACTTAACCACTGAGCCACATCCCCAGCCCTTTTTTATTTTTTATTTTGAGACAGTCTCGCTAAGTTGCTTAGGGCCTCACTAATTTGCTGAGGCTGTCTTTGAACTTGAAATCCTTCTGACTTAGCTTCTAAGTAGCTGGGATTACAAGCATGCACCATCATACACAGCTGTATATTCTGTTTTTACTATGATATCTTACTAGAAACTCACTTTGTTGCTATCTTAATAGATAAATTGAGGAAATTTAGAATTGTGTTTGTGGGCTCCCTGAGGTAAATCCCCATGTTTGAGATTTGGTAGTAAAACTGACAGGATATAGTTGTTTATTATCCAATAAATAAGTTTATCCAACATTAATATAAATGATTTTATTGGATAAATTTAATTTGGGGGTAAACTTAGATTATTTGCTTGTCATCTTCCTTAATTTACTAATTTCTTTCACTTTTGTGCAAAAGGAAAAGTATTTTTGTGAAAGAATAATACTGTGGAAAATTTAGGTCTCATGCTCTGGTTTTGTTTTGCTATTAATACAATGCAAAAAAAAAAAAAATTGAGCATCATGAGATCTTTTGTTCTTGACTTCAAAAACAGATCAAATAGATGAAAACCTGAAGCAAGCACTACAGAAAGATTTAAATGTCATGGCCCCAGGTCTCACTATACAGGTAAGCTCTTTTCCAGGGAAGTTCTCTGGGAGTTTTGAGAGCTTTGAGTTTACTCCCCCTTTCAACTGATTATTTATAAAGCAGTTATTTAAATGAAGTGCCTTGGTGATTTATAGAATACCTTTCATTTTGTTGTAGCTTACCATGGGTGGCATTCTTTTATGATTCTTAAAGGGAACTAATAAGCTGAGGAAACAAAATTCATATTTATCTGTTTATCAAATTCATATTTTGTTTACAAAGGAAATAAAATTAATATTCTACAAGGAAACAATTCATATTTCTGCTATGTGTGAGGCATTATTAAGTATAGTAATTATAATTATCGGCGTAAGAGTAATCCTTACCCTCATTACCCTCAGTGAGATTATGTGTTAAAAAATTCAAGTCTAAGATTTGAACAACAATTGTAGACAAAAAAAAGATGTCACAAAGTTTATTTGATGAATTCATTGGACAGTTATTGCTATAATAGTTGAGAGGACATTCAATAAAGTATGCCTAATACTATAATAATTAATTTTTTTAGGTAAGTCAGGAAATTTTAATTTGAATTATATGGAGCAAAAGAGTGGAAAGGTATTTCAAGTGAGTGGGATGTTCTGAAGTAAAGCAAGGTAGCCAAGAATTTAGTGGTGGTAGTAGTGGTGGCATTGGGAGATAGGGTGGTGAGAACTTACACACCTACTTTTCTGAGTCATTGTGTTTTTAGCTGGTGGGTTTAAAACCATTAGTGAGTTATTATAAAAATCAATTTTATTGGATCATTTTAAATAAGAATAGGAAAAGAAGTCAGAGGAAAATAAATATCATGTAGCAAGTTAAGTATTCTGGGAAATTTTCATTTTATGTGTCTAGGAGTGGGTGATTATATTGGGTGTCAATGCAAAATGTGTTTCATACTCTGTCTTTGGTCAGTAACATTTAAAAGCCATTGCTATGGATCTAGATTTTCTGAGAAGTGGTAATGTGGCTTCTCTATTTTGCTTTCTCAGAGGCTCTAGGAGAGTTGTTGATTGTTGTGATGAACATTACTGCAGTTAAAGATTGCTATGGAGAGTGTGCATAAGTGATCATGTGTGTGCTTCTCACAAGCAAGACTGGAAGGGCAGGGTTTCTCTGTGGCCTCATTCCACAAATGACATAGCAGGTAAATTACCTGCTTTGGTGAACCACCAAAGTTAAGAGGTCATTTGAAAGGTAACTTTGCGCAATATTCTTGGTTTCTAGTCCGTTGTAACTTGGAATAGCTTTTTGATTTTAAAGATAGTTTTAAATGTGAATGTCAGAGATACTTAGGTTTTGACCAGATTGTTACTGTCATTTCTTTCATAGCTGCCTAGAATTCCTTGCTCTATATTACTTAGCCATTTCTCTGTTCCTTTTTGTTGTTGTTGTTACTGAGGCTTGAACCCAGGTATGCTTAACCGCTGAGCTACATCCTCATCCCTTTTTATATTTTTAGAGACAGGGTCTCACTGAGTTGCTCAGAGCCTCACTGTATTGCTGAGACTAACTTTGAACTCCTAATCCTCCTGCTTCAGCCTCCCCAGCCACTGGGATTACAGACATGCATCACCTCACCCAACTTCTTCCAGTTTTTTGTTTTTTGGGGGTTTTTTTTTGTATTAACAAATAGTAACGAGCATATGTCCTTATACATAAAGATTGTCTTAACAAAGTGACTGTACAAATCCATGTTCCTGTCAGCAATTTATGCAAATACTTATTTCCCTATGACCCCACCATTATTAGAACCAATCAAACATTCTGGTTTTGTCATATGGATAGATGTGAAGTTATTTCTCTCTCTTCAATTTGCATTTCCTTGGTTATTAATGAGGTTGAGCATCTTCTGGTATTTTTATACTCTCTTCTGTCAATGCCTATTTTTCTGTTATGTTTATCATTTTCTTACTGTTTGTAGTAGTTCTGTATATACTGGATTTTTTATGCACACATTTTTATACATACATGTATTATAGAAAAAAGGTTTTAGGAAAAGGATGAACTGTAAAATGAAACTCACCAGTAATCTTAACTATGCAGAGATAACAGTTTGTTGTTGCAGATGCTTCTTAATACAATAGATTTACTTCATCATCACTTTTAATGTTTATATATAATGAATTTCTATAGTTTCAGTTGTTTTACTATTATATGCATGTTGCAGTGACTGTGCTTATGTATACACCTGTTAAAGTACCCCCATTATGATAGATTTTTTTAATATCTTTTTAAAATATTTTTTTAGTTGTCAATGGACCTCCATTTTTTTTATTAATACATGGTGCCGAGAATTGAACCCAGTGCCCCACACATGCTAGGCAAGTGTTCTGCCACTGAGCCACAGCCCCAGCCCCCTTATGATAAATTTTTAAAAGTGGAATTGATGAGTCAAAGTGTGTGCCCTGTTTTGGAGCTTGACATGTATTGCCAGTTGCTTTTCAGAGAAGTTTTAGCCGTTCCTACTCTCGTCATCGGTATTAATGGGCTATAGTTTCTATTTGTTTTTGTGTTTAGACCCAAATAATTAGCAGATGCTTTGGGGAAGATTTACATAATAGTTTGTATTAATTATTGAGGTTGAATGCCCTAGGGTATGTATTGTCCACTTGCCTTTCATTTGTGAATTATTTATTGTTTTTGCTCATTTTTTTAGTTACATTTTTCTAATTGATTCAAATACACTATTTTTATGGGAGGTTTTGTTTTTCTATTTTGAATTAATGGAGATTGAACCCAGGGCCTTAGACATGTTGAGTAAGCATTATACCACTAAGCTACATCCCCAATCCTTTTTATTTTTTATTTTAATACAAGGTCTTGCTAAGCTGTCCCAGCTGACCTCAAACTTGTGCTCCTCCTGCCTCAGGTTCCTAAGTAGCTGAATTAATTATAGGCATGTGCCACCACTTCTGCTGTAGCTCTTTTTGGTGTATGGTTTTTGTTTTGTGGTGCTGGGGATTGAACCAAGGGCCTCACACATGCTAGGCAAGTGCTCTACCACTAAGCTATATCCCTAGCCCTGAATCTTTTTTAAAAATGTACTTTTTCCCAGGTTTTGGGGGTTTTTTTGTTTGTTTTTTGTTTGTTTTGGGGTTTTTTTTTTCCTTTTTTTTCATTTTTCTTTTTCTTTTCTTGCTTTGTTTTTGCCATTTCACTTTTTTTCCCCTGAAATTTTGAAGTTTTAAACTTTTACATAGTGATTTAGTGGTTTTCTTAATGGAGTCTTACTGGGCTGGCATGCTTGATACCTTTCACCACTTTAAAAGTATAGACATTTAAATTGCATCAGAAATTTCAAAATTTTTATCTAATTTTACAGTTATATTCTTAGATTTCAATCTTTAATTTGTCTGGAATCTATTTTGGTGTCAGTTATGAGATAGGGGTCCATTTCCACTCCAGACTAGGGGGGTGGCAACAGTAATTACTAATTTATCCTTCCATGTTCTCCCTTCTTTGAGTGATATTTGTATTATATGCTAAATTCCATTATATACAGGTATCTTTTCCTGAACTTCATTCTGTTTATAGATCTATTCCTATTCTTTTATTAGTTATTAAGCCCTTGTTTGGTCTTTTTTTAAACATCAAATCTACATCTCTTCTGTTTTTTTTCTTTCTTGTTGGCTAATGTAGCTCCTTCCTCTAGGACTACTCTAGAAGTGTGGGAGTCGTCTTTGACAATCCATTGCCCTTAACATCTAATGAGTTCCCATGTTCTGTTGATTCTACCATCAAAATCCATGTAAGACCACCTGCTCCTCTGTTTTTTCTGCCCCTCCTTAAACCAAGACACCGTTTCTTGCCTGAACCAGTAGCCTTTCTTCTTTTGCCTAATTTCACTTTTTCCCTTATCTATGTCATATTCTATAGATAGCAAGAACGATCTTTTAAATTTGTTTAATATATTTTTGTTCTTATAAAAAGTTATTGAATGAAAAACATGTAGCTTTGTAATGCATTCTTAAAGTGGAAAACAAGGTCTCCATTGTTTTGGTTGCTTTTGTCTTCTTTTAAAATAGTTTCTTACAGTAGTTAGTTGCAATACATTTTTAGAACTTCAGGTCTATTTTTCAACCTTTTTTTTAATTTTTTTTTTAAGATGTTGATAGTCCTTTATTTTATTTATTTATTTATTTACATATGGTGCTGAGAAATGAACCCAATGCTTCACACTAGGCAAGTGCTCTACCACTGAGCCACAACCCTAGCCCCATCAACCTTCATTTTTAACACATTACCATGTGGTTGTGGTAATTCAACTTTTTACTCAATTTTAAAATCTGGTAAGATATATCATCTACTTAGAAACAAAGGCTTTGATATTTTTGCCAGATGAGTTTTCATTTTTTATAATTTCAAGCTAGACCAGGTATCTAAATTAGCATTTAAGTTATAGGATTGTAGTCTATGGCTTTACTTGATCATATCAAGGCAAGGATATTTATCCTTTTTGTTTCTTTTAGAATTTCTGTGTTGGGGAGAAACTCTTCTTCTTCTTTTTTTTTTTTTTTTCGGTACTGGAGGTTGAACCCAACGTCACTTAACCACAGAGTCACGTCCCCAGTCCTTTTTATTGTTTTGTTCTTTTCAGATATACATGACAGTAGAGTATATTTTGACATATCATACATACATGAAGTATAACTTCCTGTTCTTGTGGTTGTACATAATGTGAAGTTAGACCGGTTGGGTATTCATATATGAACATAGGAAAGTTATGTCCGATTCATTCTGTCTTTCCCATTTCTATCTTTCCTCCCTTCCTTTCATTCCCCTTTGTCTAATCCAGTGAACTCCTATCCCCCCTCCCACTTATTGTGTGTTAGCATCTGCATATCAGAGAGAACATTCAGCCTTTGGTTTTGGGGGATTGGCTTATTTCATTTAACATGATAGTCTCTAGTTCCATACGTTTACTGGCAAACACCATAATTTCATTCTTCTTTATGACTGAGTAATATTCCATTGTGTATATATACCATTTTCTTTTATATTCATTTTTTGAAGGGCACCTAGGTTGGTTCCATAGCTTAGCTATTGTAAATTGAGCTGCTATAATTTTTTTTTTAACTTTTGAGACATAGTCTTACTAAGTCACTTAGGGCCTCGATAAGTTGCTGAAGTTGGCCTTGAACTTGCAATTCTCCTGCCTCAGCCTCCAGAGTTGTTGAGATTATAGAATATAGAAGTATGCCCCATACCCACCTGGCTGAGAAACTCATATCTTTTTAAAATTTTTATTTATTTATTTTAATTATGTATATATGACAGCAGAATGCATTTTGATTCGTTGTATACAATTGCAGCACAACTTTTCATTTCTCTGTACACAATGCAGCATCACACCATTCCACCATCTTTCCTGCCCCCCCCCCCACTCCCTTTACTTCCCTCCGTCCCCCTTGCCCAATCAAAGTTCCTCCATTTTTCCTATTGCCTCCCCCCCATTATGGATCAACATCCGCTTATCAGAGAGAACATTTGGCCTTTGCTTTTGGGGGATTGGCTAATTTCGCTTAGCATGATAGAGAAACTCATATCTTAGGTTAAATTAATAGATATAATGAATTTTAATGCTGATCAATTTGTAGTCTCTCTTTTAAAAAATTGTTTTAGAAAGAGAACATAGGATCACAGTTGATTGGTGGATTTATCCTATATCTGCAATTTTGTTGAACTCACCATCTCTAATAATTTTGGGGGTTAATTTTTGTAGATTTTTCAGTTATATAATTACACCAAGATAAAAATCTTGTTTTCCTCTTCCACAACCGAGTAAAGTCCCAAAGTCATCCTGTTTTAATTCTTCATATAGCACTCATAATTATGTGAAATTCTCTTACTTATTTGCTTTTTGTTGTTATTGTCTCTTTAAAATTTTAAATTCCATGACAGCAATCTTGCTTTGTTATTCACTACCATCGCCACAGTACTCATATCACTACTTTAATTTTTCCTTTTGCTATATTTATAACCTCATTTTTCTTCTTGAAAAACTTCTCTGGAAAAATTAGAATGGTGAAAATGATCATCCTTGGCATTTTTTTCCCTGTTATTTAATGGAGTGACTATTATATTCTGACTTTTTGGCTTAAAATTTGTTTATAATCCAGGGGTCAGTTTCAACATGTGCATTTCATTTCATCACCTTTTTGTCTCCACTCACTGTGTGTGTTTATGGTGTGAGGTAGGGGGTGTTTTGGTTGTTGTTTTCTCAAATTTCTTGTACAACTTACTCATGGTATCTGCTATAGCAGGTATTTGTATTTTCACATATTTGAAAATGTGTGAGGTTTCCCAGGATTGGCAAGCATGTGGTGTGTTATTCAAGACAGTCCTATTTTATGCTTTTTGTTATGTGGCTAAAAAGATATGTGACCAGTCAGTGTCTGAATTTAAAGCAGTGTGACGTGCTTCCCTCTGAATCATTCTTGTCTGTATTGGAGGTCATCTGTATGCCTGGAAGTCACATAATGAAATCTAGCATCTCAAAAATTCTGGTTCTGAATTTTTATCTTCTAAATATCTCCACTGAATGTCCTTAAGAACTCACATGCCTTACCTTCAGTGTGTGATGGGGTTTTTCCTCACAGCACTAGCTTCTTATAGTGTTCTATTATAATTCTTATCATTAGTTATGAGAGTCCTCAAAATTACAGATTTGACTATGCTTTGTATAGGAAATTCTGGTTTCCTTAAAAGTGTTTGAAGCCTTCTTTTAAAATACTTGTGTTTAAAAGCAAATAGGAAGCTTTTGAGAGATTAAGTCCTTGGTGTATAAAGTCAGCCTTCAAAAAAACAAAATAGCACTTTTCATGTATATAATTATGTCAGAGTATACTCTGATTAGAGAAACCAAGTGTCTAGGAAACAAGGTCCACAAAGACTGGTAGACTTTGTTCTGAGGCTCCAAGAAGAAAGAATATAAGCTGTGAATTGCTGTTATCCCTCAGCTATTGGGCTATGTATTTATAGCTAGTACTGAGTGATTGCAGTTTTAGGAAGTGATAATAAGTAACTGGCTTATTAGACACTGTATTAAATTGTATAGACTGACCTCAGTTTTTAGTTTGTTTTTGACTGTTTCTAATTCGTTCAATTTTAGTCTTGTAACTTTGCCTTCCTTCTGTTTCTTTGGTTTGAAAGTTTGAAAAGAAAAGCAAAACTAACCAACTAAACAACTTTGTGAACATCTGTTAAGGGGAACCTTTTCCCTCAAGGAGTTTATTTCTCTAGTGGGTACAGTGGTTTTTCTCCTGTAGTTAGTAGTTTTTTAAGAAAACTAGAAATAGCTTATCTTTGATTCTTGGTGTGATAGCATGAGAAATAGCTTTTCCAGTAGGATCTCTGCACCTTAGTAGGCAGCTATGTTATAGTTGTTTTATTAGTACGAATTGGGGAGCTCTTCGATAGAAGATTCAGTGTGAACATTTATTTTTTAAATATACCTTTGTTTGTTTACTTTTATTTTTTAGGCTGTGCGTGTTACAAAACCTAAAATACCAGAAGCCATAAGAAGAAATTTTGAGTTAATGTGAGTAACAAGCATGGGATCCTAATATTTCTATTTAGAGCTGTCTACTTACTGATACAACAGTCCAGATGAAATACATGACATAATAGAGTTGGGTTGGGTAACTGTCTATTACCTATACATTTATCTTAGTAATATTGCCAGTTCTCATGTCTTAATTCCAACTAGACTCTTTCTAGTTTTCTCTTTGTGTATAGACATTTCAGAAGCAGTCTTAGTTACTAAAGATGCAATTTGCTGTGGAACTCTTGGTGAAAACCTAAGGAGCTGTAATCTGCATATGAATAATATCTTGAATTAAATATTATAACAGGAATGAAAGTCCTAGCTATTAAGGTGAAGAGAGTGCCCATATTTTGTTATCTTATTGTAATAATAAGAAAAGAATAGACACCTAGTTAATATGAAGTTTGGTTTTTCCATTGTATGTGGCTGTGTATCTAAAATTAGACCTGAATCTTTTCAGTTTATCTCTGGGGAAGCTTTGCTTGAATTGACAAGGCTTCCCTAGTCTTTTATGTTCCCAGGATTGTCTTGGAATGAGAAGTTACTTGCTTGATATGAAATTAAAGATTTTAGAGGGTTCCTTTTAATGGGAACACTTACTGCATTTGGAATGACAGTATTTTCAGATGATAGATCCTGAAGAGAAAAAAACAATGGTCTTTAGAGAATTTGACCATTAGGAAAAATATTAAATGCTAGGGAAAAAATAACTATAAAAGTTAATAATACAGCAGATGTATAAATACAGGTGATCAAAGGAGTAATAATGCTACTTTTGAGTTCTTTTTATTTCTAAGTCTATCCTCTGTCATAGAATTTTATTTTCCTTCTTTTTCGTTGTTAAAAATAAATACTTTTAAGGTTACCAGGCTGGATAGATCATAGGTTTGAGCCACATGTAGAAAAAAAAAAATGTTTACTGAAGGCTCCAAATATGATTATTTGGAGCTTTTAATTAAATTTAAAGCCTAAATTATTAGGCTTTAAATATGATTATTTCTTGTGATTGAAAGATAAATGTATTTTCTTTGTATTTTATTTATTTATATATCTACTTATTTCTTTTGTGTGTGTGTGTGTGCGCGCGCGCGCAAAAAGAAACCCAGGGCTTCTCTTATGCTAAACTACACTCTACCCCTTAACTGTGTCCTCAGATCCAAATATTGTATACTTTTTGTCTTCAAATAACTCAATTTTGGGCTGGGGTTGTGGCTCAGAGGTTGTGGCACTCGCCTAGCATGCATAAGACACTGGGTTCGATCTTCAGCACCACATAAAATAAAATAAAGATATTTTAAAAAAATAACTCAATTTTCAGAACATTGTGTCTTTATCAGTGTTGGCATGAGGAGAGGGGGAACATGTCTTGGTGTAAATGCTTTACAGATAATTCTGGGTCTTTCTTAATTTTTTAAACAATGGAAATTCCAGAATTAAAAGCTGTGTTGGGATTATATAGTCTAACCTCTTACCTAATAGTAATCTTTTTGTAATACCATTTCTGTCATGTGGTCCCACAGAGGCTACTTGTACATGCTTAGCAATAGGCTAGCATTTCCATTATTTGAAACTCAAATTCTTAGAAAAGTTTTCCTTACCTTGAGCCACAGTTTACTGCCTAATAACTGCCACCTGGCTATACCTTTTACCTATCAAATAGCACCACTGTACCTGGTGCCCAACTGAGGAGGACAGAGGCTCAAATCTAGCACCATCTGCTTGCTATTTGTGTCTGAGGAACCACATTTGCCCAGAGACTGGTGCCTTTTTCTGATTGACTGTGATGCTGTGTGGGCTAGCAGAAGGCCTAACAGAAGGAAAGCTTTTATGTACTTCCTTTCAGATCACAGCCCGGTACATGGCACAGTTAGAAGGAAAAAATTAGGCTGAGTTCTAATATTCTAATTTTTGTTTTTCTTATCTCTGGGTGACTTTGGACCAATCATTCCATCTTTCAACCTCACATTCATTTTAAGTAAATACCTGAACATACCCTAATGGACCCAAATATCCTTATTTGAAAAATGCTTCTCTAACTCATGGTCAAAATTACTATGACCACATCATAAGAGAATCATTTCCGGGGCTAGGGATAAAGATCAGTGTGAGAGTGCTTTCCTAGTATGCACAAGTCCCTGAGTTTAATCCCCAACACTGCAAAATAAAAATTTTTATAATTTTTATAATGTTTTGCTTTAAAGGGAGGCTGAGAAGACTAAACTTCTTATAGCTGCACAGAAACAAAAGGTTGTGGAGAAAGAAGCTGAGACGGAGAGGAAAAAGGCTGTTATAGGTACTTTGACTTATTTCTGAAATGAATGTCTCTAAGAATCTGTGCTATGAGTTGTCTTGTTCTTTGTTGGTCTCAAGTTGGATATTGAGAGGATTCAAATAAGATGGTATCATCTGTAGTGGAGAATTCTGGAAACTTCATTATGCATTCAGATGTCCTGAAGCCTTTGAAAGAAGGTGAAGCCAGTACTTAATGAAGTGTCTTGGCTCTCCATCATGTTGTTGACTGCTGCTGTTGTCTTTTTCAAGTGTAGTGAGAAGGGCTAGGGTTTATGGGCAGCTTTAATCTCTGGAGTAGAATTTTCATTTATTCAATTTAAGAATAAGGAAGTTTTTTGGCCAAATCTCAAGTTAGAGTATGTGTCCTTGCTGTTATCATGCACCAAGTTTTATTTGTATAGATAACTGCCATCTATGAAAGTACAATAGTATTACTTACAGCTCATTTTGAATTATATTGTAGGATACTGTATATTAGATTGCCTCTTTCGTCTACAGTTGATGCTGAGTTTAAGGACTTCTTTTTTTTAAGTAAATATATATATATAGATAGATAGATATAGATGTATAGATATATAGATCACTGTTTTCCTATATATATATAGGAATGTACAAAGAATATATAGGAAGTCTTAAAATTTTACCATATTTTAGCTAGGTGTAGTATGCACACCTGTAATCTCAGTGACTTGGGAGGCTGAGGCAGGAATATTGCAAGTTTGAGTCAGCCTGGGTAACTTAGTGAGACCCTGTCTCATAAAATAAAAAGGACTGGGGGTATAGCTTAGTATTAGAGTACCCCTGAGTTTAATCTCCAGTACTACCTTTAAAAAAGAAAAAAAAAAAAAAAGGATTTTGCCACATTTCCTTGAGATATTTTCTTTAAAGGGAAAAAAAAACACAAAAACTATATATGTCTTTGAAGCCTACTTTGTCCCCTTCCCTAGTCTTATTTTTTGACCCTTCTTCTTAGAGCAGCTTCTGTTCTGAAGTAGATGTGTACGTTCTTTTTATCCATATTTTTAAACTTTTATTTCTAATATGTAACAATAAACAGCTTATTTACCTCTTTGAAGCTACAAAAACAGTATTATACTCCCTTTTATTTTACACTGGGCCTTTTTCTGACCATTGAAATTTATTCATATTGATACATGTTCATTTGGTTCATTTTTAACTGCTGGGTAATTTCATTCTGAGTGAACCTCGGATTTTTTTCTGATGAATTACTAATAAAGAATTTGCATAGTTTATGGTTTATCCTTATTACAGACCCTACTGTCCTTTTTGTCTTCTTTTACTTGTGTGCAAGAATTTGCCTAGAGCAGGGTTATTCAGCATGTGGGGTGGGGTAGTGTCCTATCACCAGCTATTCTTTTCTGAGCCACAATAAGATAAGCCTAAATATTCAGATCAGAGTGAGTTTAGAAGTTCTTATAGCATTTTAACACAGTAATTTTTTGTTTTCTCTTGGTACTGGGGATTGAACCAAAGGCAGTTAACCACTGAGCCACATTCCCAACCCATTTTTTATTTTTTGAGACAGAGCATCACTAAGTTGGTGAGTTTGGCTTTGAACTTGTGGTCCTCCTGCCTCAGCTTCCTGAGCCACTAGGATTACAGGTGTGTGCTACTGTGCCCAGTATGATCTCTCGTACATTGAATTAATAGTAAAAGATGGAGTTTATGTTTTTATGTTCAGTTTTTAAATTTTTTTAGTAGTTCATTTTTATTATAGTTTATAATATATTGGTTCTTCAAAACACACACAAAGGCATTTTCCCACAGATAGTCTGAGAAGCACTGTACTAGAAAAACATATCTCGAAGTAGAATTGTTTCATCATAGGTTGTACATATTTTCAAAATTTACATACTGCCAAATTGCTCTCTGAAGTGATTGTTTTATTTTATCCTCTCTTCAATAATGCTGAATTCCAAGTTCTATCCTTCCATACTTGAGTTCCTCATTCTGCAAATCCACCTCAACTCTTAGAGCTATCAGACTTTTAAACATTTACGTCAATTTAATGGTAGTCTTGGTGTACCACATAAGTTCAATTTTAATCTCCCTGATTATTAGTAAAGTTGAATATCATTTATTGGTCATTCAGGTTTCCTTTTTCTTTTCCCGTATGAATTGCCTTTTAGTGTCCTTACCCCGTTATTTTATTATTTTTTTGAACTGGTTTATAAGGGTTCTTTATATCTTTTTAGTACTAATTCTTTTCTAAATTTATGCATCAAAATATCTTCTCTTAATTTGTTGCTTGACTTTGAACTCTGATATCTTTGACATACATAGATATTTTAACTTTCACATAGTCAAATTGATCACTCTTTTCCGTTATGGTTTGTGGCATTCCTATCTTTCCCTACCGCAAAGTAATTTCTATTCTAAAAGTTTTAAAATTTCTGCTTTTCGAATTTAGCCATGGAATTTATTTTAGTGTTTAATGTGACATAGAAATTCGAGTCTTTTTCCAAGTGACAAACCAATCATTCATTATTTATTCTACTTATTTCTAATGCATATATATCATATAACAAGATACTATATGTAATTTGTTGTGTTGCTAAGATCTCTGTTTTGTTCCAGTTTTTTTATTTTGGTTTTTTTGGTCTATCTTTTATTTCTAGTATGTAACAATAAACAGCTTATTTACCTCTTTGAAGCTACAAAAACAGTATTATACTCCCTTTTATTTTACACTGGCCTTTTTCCCAGTATTACCTTGTTTTAATTACTGTAGCTTTTATGTTAAGTCTTACTATCTGGGAGAGTGAGTCAGTCTCTCTTTAGCTATTCCTCTGAACTGTTAACTATTTCTAAAATTGTTCTGGACTATTCAGGGCCCTTTATTCATCCATATAAATTTAAGAATCAGCTCCAGTTCTATAAAATACTGTGTTGGGATTTTTTATTGGCAATGCATTGAATGCATACATCAGTTTGGAGAGAATTACAGTATTTATGATCTTGAGTGTTATTATATTTCTCCATTTACGATAAATATATTTCAGAAATTATCACAATTTTCTTAAAATTCTCACACATTTGTTAGATTTATTCCTATATGTCTTTTAGGTGTTTTTTCTGTCATAAGTATGCTCTTTTTTAAAGACAGGTTTTCTGATTGCTTGCTGCTTTTGTATAGATTTGCTGTTGATTTATTATTTAGTATTCATGCTGAAAATGCTATTACTCCTAGTAGTCTCTTGAATTTCCCATGGAGCAATCATATTATCTTTGAATAAGGACAGTCTTAGGTTTTTTGTTTATTAGCTGCATACCTTTCATTTCTTATTGTTTTTAAGCTGTGACTTCCTATACAGTCTAGAAAAGAAAGATAGCAACAGGCACTCTTGTCCCTAACTTTGAATAGTCCTAGTCCTATTTGTTATATTTAATATTAATCTGTTAATGAAGTTTCCTTCTGTTCTTTCCTTGCCAAGAGCTTTTATTGTGAATGACTGTTAAAACTAAAAACTTCTTTTTACTTAGATTTAGATAAATATATGATTGTTCATTTTAAAGTTGTTAATTTGGTGAATTATATTCATAGATTTTCTATTACTGAATTTTCTTTGTGTTCCTGGGTTGAACCCACTTGATCATGACGTAGGAGGTTCACTGTAATAGATTTCTCCATTGGGTTTGCTGATAAATTCCTTTAGAATTAGTACCTTTTTTAAAAAAAAAAAAAAAATGAATGAGATCCATTTATAATTTTTCTTTCTTCCATCAGGTTTTGTCTGTTTTTATTTGGGGATTTGGGTTTGTTTTTGTATAATGATTCTCCTAGCCTTAAAATGAATTGAACACATCTTCACTTTCTGTATTTTGGAGCATTTTGTGTAAGATAAGTATTATCTATCTCCTTTTATAGATATGGTGGAACTTACCATTTTGGTCTGGTGGGATTTGTGGTTTGGGTTTTGCTTGTTTGTTTTTGTGGTAACACTTAACCTACTGATTTAATTTCTATATTGAGTTTAGGTCTGTTATTTGTTTCTTTTGAAGTCAATTTTAGCAATTGTTTTGTTTTGGAAAATTGTCCATTTATCAGATATTTCAAATTTGGAGGCATAAAACTATTTATAGAATTCTTTCATAGCACCTACCAATCTGTATGCCCCTTTTTCATTCCTAATAGTATTTATTTGTGCCTTCTCTTTTCCTGAATCAATTTTGACAGATCTGTCTTATTTTATTTGTTTTTTCCGAGAACTAGCTTTAGGTTTTGATTTTGTTGATTCTTGCTTTCTTTCTTTCGGATGCTACTTATATTTGCTTTTATTAATTTCTTCTTTCTACTTTCTTTGAATTTACTCATTGGTTTCTTTTCTAACTCCTGGAAGAGTTAAATACTTTTAATTCATTAACTTTCAGTTTTTTCAAATGGATTCTCAGTTTTATTCTAAGTTCTGCTTTAATTATTTCTCGGAAATTTTGAAGTGTATTTTGTTTACTGGTGTTCCGTTTTACTTCTTTTAACAATATTCTCATAATAATGTCTTTGACTTATGAATCATTAAATGTTCTGGTTCAGTGGGTTTTGAGGGTCTACCTTTTTTATTGTGGTTTTCCAATGTGAATGTAATGTAGTCAGAAAATAAGTGCTATATGGATTCTTAAGTTTTTGTTGAAATTGTTTTGTGGCCTACCTATATACATTGTCCTTTTCTGTAAATGTTCTGTGTGCTTTAAAAGATTGAATATATATTCTCTATTTGTTGGATGCAGGTTTCTCTATATTCATTAATTCAGGCTTATGAATTGTGTTGTTCATCTGTATTCTTCTAATTTTTGTCTTCTTGAGTTATCAATTATTGAGACAGGTGTGTTAGAATTTCCTACTGTGACCATGTATTTGTTGACTTGTATTTTTTTTTTATTTATTTATTTGTATATTTTGGGCCTGTATCATTAAGAGCACTCAGGCTCAGGATTGTTACATTTCCCTGGAGAATTCCTCCTGTTTTATGGTAATATTCTTTATCCCTAAACGTGTTTTTTGACTCAAGATCTATTTTGCCCGATGATAATATAGCTGTGACAGATTTCTCTGCTTTTTTTCTTGGTGTATCTTCCCATCCTTTTACTTTCAACTTTTCTATGTTGTTATGTTTTAGGTGTGTCTCTTGTAAACAGCATATAGCTGGATTTTGTTATCTTATCCAATGTGAGAATCTATCTTTTAACTGGTGAGTTTTAGTATTTTTATATTTATTGTGGTTACTGCTGTATTTGGATTTGTTTGTATCATTAAATTATGTGCTACTTACCATACATTTATTTTCCTCTGCTGCTTTTTCCCTTCATTTCTGATTGGTATTAACTTGATTGAGTTGTCTTTAAATTCTTTTCTTCCTTTTACTTGAGTGGAAGTTTTACATTCTGTTTCTGGAATGTACAAACTAGACATCACTGGTGAAATGTTAATACGTATACTTGACAAAGTCTAAAAGCTAATTGTTCTCTACATTCTGTTCTTGAACAGTTCTTTGGAATACTTTAACTCCTGTCTCTAATCTACATATTATTGTTGCCTTGTATTTTAGTTGCATGTTGTTTTTATTCTCCCATTGATTATCATCATCATTATCATTGATTCTTATAGTAAATATTTACCTTGTTTACAAATGTTGACTAATTTTGTCCTATACTGCTTCTGGCAGTTTGTTCTTTTTTCTGTTAGGTTGTTTTGTTTTGTTTTATTTTTTCCTTTCAGAGAAGGCTAAGTAAAAGAAAACTTCAGTCTTCAGACTTCCTCAGTCTAAAAATGCTTTTATTTCATTCTTGAATGGTAGTTTAGCCTACAATTCTGCACCAAACTAAATTCATTTTTTCTTTATCACTTTGAGAATATTATTTTATTTTATTTTTGTTTTCGGGCTATCAGTCTAATTGTTTGTTTTGAGTACTTAATCTTTCTTCTCTTTTTGCTTTTAAGACTCCTCTGTATTGGGGTATTCTCCAATTTCATTATGATGTGTCTGTGCAGAAGAAAGTTCTTGCTAGTGAGCTGGTGGGTGGAGTTCTTTAACCTCCCTTTCACTGGAGTCACAGCCTCCAGAGATCTTGGTTTTATTCAGGAGTCAGTTCTAACAATGCAAGGAATGCTATAACCCAAGTGTCTCTCCCTTTCTTGCATTAGAACACCCTCAGGGCTGCCACTGTATAGGCTCTCAGCTCTCTCTTTATATTCATGTAACTTTAGGATCATTCATTATTTGTTATGAACTCAGCCCTGCATTAAAAAACAAATTTGTTAGATTTTAACAATTCTTTAAGGTGCTGCTGAGAGATTTTGTTGTTGTTGTTGTTTATTAGCCTACTCCACAACTTTTCTAGAACTAGAAGTCTGGCCCTGTTCTTCATTGTTTTATTCCCACATGACAGTATTGAGGGATTACTACAATAGTTTCTCTGTGTTGAGGCAATATTCTCTGGGTTCTAGCTTTAGCTTCTACATCGCTCACCTTTTACTCAAATTTTATTTTGAGTTTCTTCTTACAATTAAATTTCTAGCCCAGTAGTTTGTTTTTAGGATAGTATAATATAGATTGAATTTAGTCTGATGGGAAAATAGGGAAATAAGCCTTGGAATTGATAAAGGATACTGTTCTCTGGAAAGAAGTACTTGGAAATTTTCTCACCGTTATGTGCTTCCCCCAGGGGCCAGAGATGAGATGTGTTAAAATACAATCATATCTTGTTATCTGTGGGAATTGGTTCCAGGACATCTACCCATACCTCATACCAATATCTGCAGATGCTTATGTCCCTTATATCAATTTTTTATATAATTTATGCTTATTTTCTCATATAATTTAAATCATCACTAGATTACTTATAATAACTACTACAATACAAAGGCTTTATAGTTGTTATATCGTATATGGAATAATGACAAGAAAAATTGTACATGTTTAGTATAAACATAGTTATTTTATTTCCAAGTATTTTCAGTCAAGAGTTGATTTAATCTGCAGATTTAAAAAATGCAGATATAGTATTTGTTATTTAAGCTGAAAAGAATTAAGAATGTTTTTTTAAGAATTGCACTCTTTGAATTTGAAGTAAATTAGAGTCTCTTTTCCCTGGTCCTGGGTCCTTTGGTTTGACCAGACGTCTACTGAGGGTGTTTAGTTTCTCCCATGTGTACTTGCCTGCTGTAGCTAACATGTTCACTTCAAATGTTCATTTTCACCTTCTCAGATAAATTATCCAGATTTTTGTTTTATCTTCTACAGCAGTCAGGATATTCCTCCTTTAATATTCTTTTCCTCATGTCATTTTCCTGATGGCAACTTAGCAATAGATCCTGAGATATTAAAACTAAACTTCTTAGCCTGTCACTCAAGACTGAGGCCTTGTAGCCCTCTTTCTCATCTTAATTTTTGTTGTTTTCTCTCGTCAGCTGGCTATGTATCCCCTTTCCATCATGACTTGTTCATCTGTACCTTTTTGTTTCCTGTCTTGTCCATTCTTCCCTAGAAGATTTCTATGTTGTCATGCATTTATGTTGCTGTTTTTATTCTGTAGTATTTTTATTAAGTGTCCTTTTTCCCCATTAGCTTGTGAACCATTGCTAAATAGTATTATGAAGGACTGAAACTATTGACCTTTTGTACTCCCTCTTCTCACAAAACTTGCACTGTCAAAATAAAACTGTGAAGTAGGAAATAAATTCCCTCTTTTACATTTGAATTCCTTTGTTTACAATCTAAATCTATTAAATTTAAGGAAATAATTAGCTATAAAGCCTCATGTAAATAAATGTTAGATTGTGCACTGCTGATTCTAAGTACCAAAGGAACTAGAGAAACATTTTTGAGTATGTCTTCTGTTGTATAATTATAGAAGCAGAGAAGATTGCACAAGTGGCAAAAATTCGGTTTCAGCAGAAGGTGATGGAGAAAGAAACTGAAAAGCGCATTTCTGAAATTGAAGGTACATTGGGGACAGTGTGAGGATCTGTCTTCCTTCAGAGATCAGCTCTTGATTGTCTTGGGTAGGAAAAACAGAATATTATGGCCTGGAGGGAATAGCTGGCCTGATATTCTAGATACAAGAAATTTTTGACTGTTATTACATATCTAGCAGTTGCCTTGGCTTGTGACTCTAGTAAGTCTACATTTCATTTCCTTCTTTAAATTGGGGCCTATTGTTTTATTCTCGGAGTACAATAATTACTCATAATCAATTGTTTTTTTCTTTGTTTTTTGGTACCAGGGATTTAAGTTTATGGGCACTCTACCACTCAGCCACATCCCCAACACTTATTTTTGCATTTTATTTAGAGACAGGGTCTCACTGAGTTACTTAGCACCTTGTGGTTGCTGAGGCTGGCTTTGAACCTCCAGATCCTTCTGTCTTCACCTCCTGAGCTGCTGGGATTACAGGCTTGCGCCACCATGCCCAGCACTCATAATCAACTGTAAAGAATATACAAGACAATAAACCCTATCACCATCAGTTTCTTTTTCATCTGTCAGCAACAGTGATAACAACAACAAATTAGCCAGGGGATAAAGAAGCCTCAGTTTTCATGAAAAATCTCAAACTCATTGATGTCACATAGTGGCATGTTAATGTTGTTAGCTCACAGTCTTGCAGACACTTTGAGTTATAAACAGCTGCTTCCTATCTTTCTGTGCTAACTGACTCTGGGTCAAAATTGGAGGAAATTGGGACAATGCAGTAAATAGAATAGAGCTTACTCTTATATCTGTAATTAGTTACTTTACTTGAAACCAATGGGGTAGGAGGCTTTGGGTAGTGGGAGGTGGAATGGGAAAGTAAAGGAAAGAGGGAACCACTTCAGGTAAAAAAAATTAATGGACTCAGATTTTTATTCAGCTTCCTTGACAAGGAGCTGTTTAGGGGCTGGGATTTTAAAAGTGCTAATGTTATAAATTGTTAAAGTGAGGTAAGCATTGAAATATTAAGCAGTGTAAAAGGGACAGTTACTCTACTGAGGGAACAGATTGACAGTATTTTTTTGTTTTTACACATCTCGACTATGTTTTACTTGATAGATGCTGCATTCCTGGCCCGAGAGAAGGCGAAAGCAGATGCTGAGTATTATGCTGCACACAAATACGCCACCTCAAACAAGGTGACTGGCTTTCTGTGCCACATTCCTATTGATAGTTTGGGCTTTGCCTTTCCAAGATATCTAATATGATAGAGCTGAATTTATCCAACATCAAGGAAGGATAGTGACCAGTCAGTCCTTCAGCATTAGCCAATCACTTAGCAAGACATATGGCACACCACATTATTGGGTAGGAAATTTTGAATGGTTCCTTATAAAAGTGAGGAGTAAGACATGACATAAATCAGTTCATTTGTATTGGAATGTAGAGACTCAATAATTAGTAAAGTTGAAGAGCTTAAAAGAGGGACAGGTAAAGACTGAAGTTCATTTAGAATTGCTTTCCAGGTAAAGTTATCTGCCAGGTAGAAGCCATGCTTTTTAAGAACGTTCTATAATGCAAAAATAAATAAATATTACCAAAAATAATAATGATTTTTTTAAAAAAGAAAAGAAAACAGACTAAAAATAGATCTTCTTTTAAGTTATTATCATCATGCAACATCAGTTCTAAAAAAGTCTTCTTAAAAAAAAAAGTTTTGGCATGTCAGAAACATTCTTGGCATTTAGTATGAGATACTTTTTTTATGTTGAAGACTGTGTCATACATTGTGTGGGATATTTTGCATCTCTGGCCCTTGCCTACTAAATATCTGTAGTGCTGACCAATTATTTTAACAACCATAAACACACACACACACACACATTTTGAAATGCCAACAATTGAGTACTCCTTGCATTTTGGATTTAAAAACTTTTAATCATGAGAAATTTCATGTGTGATAACACTGAGAAAGAAAGTAGATTGGGTGATGTATGAGTGAACAATTTTTGTAGAAGGTTTGGGTTAACTAGAGAGTACAGGCTAAGTGAGCAGAAATTATTTCATTAGGAGGCAGCTACAACCCCTATAGGATTCTGAGAAGGGAAGGATAAGTCCAAGATTTGTAAGGTGATTAACTGAGTTGGTACTGGTAAAAGGTTGAGATAAGTTGCTAAGGTGTATGATGCAATTTGAAGGATGAGAATTGAGATTTAAGGTATAAACAGAGCTTAAACTTTCAATTTAGAAAAAAAATGATGTATGATAGGTTTACAGAATATGAATTGTCAGTACTTGGGAAACCAGTATAAATTTAGAAATAAACCTAACATTGAGGACACAGCTCTATAGAAACAGAATGTAATTTGTTCCAGATGAAGGCAAGAAGGAAAATTTTAGTTTATAAAACTAGCAGACCACATCTGTAGTAGGAGAAGCTGGACAGGCACAAGCATTAAGATCTTGCTACTAAGATCAACTTTATTCTCAAAGGGACAAAAGTTTTATGGCATTTTGAAAAATGCTACTCAGATACCAACCTATATTATAAAGGCTTTAAGAAGTAATTTAGTTGGATATTTTGACCAGACCTGATTGCAGTGTTTTGACAGCAGATGTGAATCAACTGGAGAGTATAGAGATCCAGGGAGTGAAAGATGTAAGAATGCAGAGAACAGATGTTATGGAACTGTGAAGGACAAGAAGGGCTTTTGCCTAGAAGACAGATTGGGACCCAAGACGAGTAGAGGATTGCTAAGAAAGGCCCTAAAGGGCTTTGGGAGTGTATATTCTGGGAATGGTGGAAATGAGTTTTAATCAAATCCAGAATGGTTTTTGGTTAGATATATCTTGGCACCATGATTTAAACAAAACACTGACAGGGAAGGAGATCTGATAGTCAACAAACATCTGTCTATCATAAGCTGCTTCTGGGTAAAGGCAAGATGCTAGATAGTAACTTCTTGAGATTTTCCACTTCTAGAATTTGGTCAAGAAAAACAGAATCACAAACAGCTGATTATAAGATGATGAGCCCAGGCCCCTCATTGGAAACTCCAGCATCCTCATCCATTGACCTGTATGTCTCTCTCAAGAGAATCAGTAGAAATTTAAGGTCAATTACAGTATGATTTCAGCAAGATGAGAAGTGTATGTAAAAGTACTTAACAGGCCCTAAGTCACTATAGAAATATTAATTATCACTAGTTATCATTATTTGTTCCTCAACACCCTCTTTCTTCTATTAAAAAGTGGACAGCTTCTCCTGCATTAAGACAGCTCATTTGAAGGAATTTTAAGTCAAGAGTTTTAACTGCTAATATGATAGCACACTCCAGAGTATCATTGGCAACCCTTCCGAGTTGAGTCATATACTCAAGAAAGCAATAGGAAAAATGGATATAGAAAAAAAGAGATAATAACTATTACACCAGAGTATCCTGATTCCTTTGCTCTTGTTTGTCCTACACAGCACAAGTTGACCCCGGAATATTTGGAGCTCAAAAAGTACCAGGCCATTGCATCTAACAGTAAGATCTACTTTGGCAGCAACATCCCTAGCATGTTTGTGGACTCCTCTTGTGCTTTGAAGTATTCAGATGTTAGGACTGGAAGTGAAAGCTCCCTCCCCTCTGAGGAGGCTGTTGAACCCTCGGGAGAGAGTCCCATCCAAAACAAGGAGAGCACAGGTTGATGCAAGAGGTGGAAATGTTCTCCCATATCAAGATGTGTCCCAAGGGGCTAAGTGGGAACAGTGGTTATATGGACTCTTTGGATTTACAGAGAAGTTGTGCTCTGTCTGTCTGGCTCTCTTGTGAATTGTCCTGGTTTGTCAGCTGATTGCAGGATAGAGCCAGCTGTCTGGCACTCAAATGGTCTTCTCAGCCACAGTTTATCAAGTCTCCTGTATGTATTCCTTTCTAAACTGGTACTCATGAATGAGGAAAGTCTGATGCTAAGATACTGCCTTCACTGGAATGTTAAACACTAAATATATAACAAGCTGTGTTTTTTTAAGCTGAGATCTATTGAATAATGTTTACATTGGTCCCCGGGGCCATGTGTGCTCAGCCATTCAAGAGATAGGAGGCCAGAGAGAAGACCTCTAAGACATGGTAAGTTAAAGAAGACTGATTGCACCTGGGATCCAGACTCTCTTTGGAGTCCAGTCCCAGTGTTCATCTGGGTGATTAACATTCAGGCCACTGAGGTTCCCCAGGAAATGATCTTCCACTTGAGCAACTATTTACTTGATATGATTTGCACCTTTGTTTTCCTACAGTCAGGTTGGTGGCTTCCAGGGATATGCGCTTTGCCATCCAACCAGAGATTCCTAATCACTTGTTTATTGCATTAGTAGGTTCAGAGATAAGGAGAGTTTGGTTTAAAGTTTTGAGGGAAATGAAACCTTTGCTCTGAACCAAAGCTCTGGGGCCCTGCATTCCCTCCGTTGGCTGATGACTGTGAGCATCACTGCCCCAGGCTATGATGACTAAGGTGCCTGGTTTTTAACCACAGACAATTCCTTATATGTCACCTCTCAGCTCTGGCTGGCCAAGAGTGAGACAGGGCTTTAACTGCACATAGAAGCAGTGTGCAATTTCTAGCCATTCATTGCACAGTATTGTATCATAATTGCAGGAAGTTTTTATTTTTAAAACTGGATTTGGGGTACATTCATTTTGCCCCAGCACTTCTGTCTAAAGGCCAATACATAGGGCTGCTGTGGTTACTAGCACATTGATTCTCCTTAATATTATTCACAGAGTATAGAACAGAGTATCCTATAGAAAGTATCCTTGGTCATCTTGGTCTCCTTCCTTCCTGGCCCTGGGATATTGAAATCAAAGTTGTTTCTCCAGCTTTCACCTTCCCTAGAAGATCAGGATTCCACTGACTTCTTGGGCAACCAGTGAATTTAATTTTCCATGAGATGACAGAGTTAACCTGTGGCTATAGGAGATCTACTTCATCTGGACCTCTTTTTTTTTTTTTAACTTCAGATTAACTTTCTTGAAACATTGTGCTCCATAGTTAGACCTAAGTTTGTGAAGCTTATTGACACTTTTTTTGTACACTATGTTGAAGCCAGACAGAAAAGTCATGGGACCACTTCCAGAAACCTCTCAGCTGTCAGTCTTACAGCAGCTGATGGGTTGTGCCAAACGCTTTATTTGGGAAAGTAAAGCCCAAATTTGGATGGGTCTTATCCCTGGGCCTTATACTCTAGAGGCATTTATAATATGGAGAAATCATTCTTTCATTTTTTTGCTCATTTAATTCTATAAATTGTCTTTATGAGTGAATTTTTCTTTATCCCTACTTAAAAGAACTTTTGAATTATAAAAATAAATTCTTGTCATGTTGTCGCTGCAGATAAATAATGATTGTTGTGGGAAATCTGGATCCTTTACTTTTGTGCTTTCATTCCTAGAGATGTTTCCTATTCCCATAAGTGAAAAGCTATTGCCCCAAAGTGATGGCTGTGGGTTTTCTTACCAGCCAAAAGCCCTGATGGCAGGGTTGATGAAAGAGGAAGTGCCATTGTGAAGTTTTAAAGAGAGCACTTCCATTTAAACACCATGGAGTGAGCTTTCCTATGCCCACTCAGTGAGCTCTAAGTCTAGCCATCCTTCAGGGATGTTCCTTTTGGCAAATAAATATACACTGTAATCTTGAAGTCTAAATTTATATGTGAAATGCTACCTTTTTTAAAATAAGAAACTAAATAAAATTATTTTAGTATCAGTGATCGTGTGTGTGTGTTTTATTATCCATGTTCATTCTTAACATGTTCCTAAGACTGTCTTACCCACTTCAAATAATTAGCTTTTTTTAATTACTCACCAATATCAAAAACAGTTTTATTTTTTGTTTGACAGGTAGTCAATAGCACAATACCCATTTCAACTAATAAGCTTTTTATTATTTGTGGACTTAACTATAGAGGCTTATACTTTTTTCAGAATATTGCCTAGTTTTAGGCATACAAATCTTAGCAACAGGATTTCCACTATTTTCTGACTCCTAGAATTTAACAAGGGATATTATTCTGGTTGTGAGACAGGGCCAGCAGCAGAGTAAAGAGAGAGGATGGAGTATCATGCCCCTTGAACCTTCTCTGAGAACCAAATACTTTTACACCAATGAGGAGAGAAGGAAGTTCTGTGGTGGAGGAAGAACAATTTATATCAATTGTAGCTGGCAGTTATGACAGACGAATCTCACTGATTCACTTGTTATTGGTTCAAGAGCCAGAATTGGACCTGGATATTCTGGGAATATTCCCTCCTAGAGACAATTTCAACAGTGCTTCTGGACCAGCAGGAAGTAGTAATTGGGACCTTGGGGGAAAGTAGCCCTTAACCAAGGTTTCTCTGGGATCCACCCCTATAATACCCCCTGTTGGCTGCTCTGTACCAGGGAGCTTTAACTCACTCAAAACTCGTTATCTTATAGGCTTGGAGAGGTATTAAGATAAAGTGATTTCTGCCCCTTGATGTGGGGAAGGAATTTTGTGAATTAGAGGTTGTAGCTTCTAGTTAGTTGCTTTAAGATTGAGTCCCAAATTTGCACATGCAAGGATCTCTGTGATCTGGCCCCAGCTAACCTTGGCAGCCATTCTTCCTTAAAGTCTGTGAGTATACTTCACCCTTAAGCCTCCCACCCACCACATGTAATGTCCCATCCACCTTCCCTTTGCTCACTCCTAATGAGCCTTCATCACTTTTTCAAGAGTTTGCCCTGAACCTTGTGATCAAGTTAGCATCCTGTACTTACTCTCCCTCTGCAAATACTTGGCGTCTCATTACCTACCTAATGTCTGATCATAAACCTAAGCTCTATGAGATCAGGGGCTGTAACTGCTGTTACCTGGGAGTTTTATCTGTTGCTAAAGCCTGAAATGGTGCTTGGCCCATGTGACCTGGTCAATTTAGTTGAATGAAAGAACCAAAGGATTAATGTGAAGTGCAGGTAAATACAGGCAAATGAATATTAGAACAAAGGACTTAGAAATTAGGTAAATTTATGTCAGGACTTCTAACCCTGTTTATTTATCTTTGCAAGATGGTGCTTCAGGAGGTTCACGGTATCTTGAAACTAGCATAATGATTTGCACATGGTAATTGCAGGGATATGTTAGTTAACCTAGGGTAATGCCCTATAGGTATCAGTATGTTTCTGTTTTGAGTAGACCCGAAGTTCCCATAGTGGAGAGTGAGCATAGTGCCTGATACATCAAAGTGCACAACAAAACACATTGGTTTATGTCGTTAGTAGCTATGAAGTAAGCTATCTGGCTTATAAACATCAACCATAACTTCCAGCAATATTCCAACAGCCTGGGCCAGCTTCTGATTTCTAACTTCTTTATATAAGCACTTAAAACTAATTTACTGTTAATTCATTGCTCAGTCCTAGTGTCACTGTTACACAGACCATAACTCATAATGATGTTTTGTTTCCTTTACCATATACTATGGATTGAATTTGCCCCACAAAAAGCATGTGTTGGAAATTTAATCCCCAATGTAACAGTGTTGGGAGGTGGGGCCTAATGAGAGGTAGTTATTAGTCCATGATTGGATTAACACCGTTATGGTGGCAAGAAATAATGTGGCTGAATTGTGTCCATGCCAAGGTTTTATAGATGGAAAGCAGGCTAGAATATCTGGTGAAAGAAATCAAACTCAAGGCCTCATGTACTACCATGAAGCTATACCTAGTGGAAGAAAATTCAAATCTTGGAAGTAGATTTATGGCTTCTTTTAACTACATACATATAGTAAAGTGCATGAGGAAAAAGGTGATTTGAAGATATACTTTTAAAAGAAAACAGAACTTAGAAATTTGAAGAATCCTCAACCTGGCCCCATAACAAATGAGAAAGGAAAGAAACTAAGGGTAGAGGAAGCCATTTGCTAAAAATATTAGTATGAATAGAAGGAAGCCAGATGCTGGCCCTTAAATCTTGGATTTTCCAGTCTCAAGAACTGTGAGCTAATAATTTCTGTTCGTTATAGATCATGTAAGTCTCAGATATTCTGTTATTATAGAAAAAAACTAAGAGATCATATTTCTCTGGAATTAGTACCAATCTTTCCATTTCTATCTTGTATGCAGTTCCTTATAAACCCAGCATAATTTATTTCTACTGTCTCCTCTTGGAGTTGTACCTGGTTTTATTGCCTATTTCCATTGGGAAATAGGACAATTTGGCTTTTGTTTCTTGGCCAGGAATCACTTGATCCTGAAAGTCTTGTGAGAAGACATGTCAAGGAATGGAGTTAAGCACACACACCACAATGTTGGACAGAAGAAGAAAATTTCTCATCAGAAATTTCTTATCATGTACAAGGAATCCTCCAAAAGATTAGCAGCCAGTTTCTCAGCAGAAACCATGAAGCTCAGAAAACAATGGGTGACAATTTATATTTAAAGTGGCCCTCAGGGCAGTTACTAAGATCTCATGGATTCAGAGTAATTTGGAATATAGAGTAGAAATGCAAGGTTATTTTTTTATTGGTAGCAAATCTGTCTGGCTCAGATAGTAGTGAACCAATGAAGATAAGACTGAAATCCTTGGGCTGCAGTCACAGCAGGCAAGAACAATGGTGGACACCAGATGCCCCTGTCAGGCCTCTGGCCTTGCAGGCATTTTCTTTTTTTGAATCCTCACAACCTTATAGGGCTGTGCTTTTTTCTTTTCTTTTTTTTTTTTTTTTTAGGTCATCTATCACTTTACTCTGAAGCTTGAGTGTACCTCTTATCAAAGGGCTAATTAAAGATCAGGGAACGGCAACAATAAAAAGACAACCCACTATTAAAATGGATAAGTGATCTCAATAGGTGTTTCTCCAGGAAAATATACAAAAGACCAATAAGGACATGAAAGTTGTTCAACATAATTGGTCATTAAAGAAATGCAATGAGATGCTACTTCACAACTACTAGGATGGCTATAATAAGAAATGTTAGCAAGTATGGGAAGAAGAAATTAGAAACTTCCATATATTACTAGTAGAGATGTAAAATGATGCAATGACTTTGAAATTTATTTTTACAATTTCTCAAATGTTAAACTGAGTTAACATATGACCTAACAATTCCACTTCTGGATGTCTACCAAAAGAACTGAAGCATATCCACACAAAGACTTATATATTGAAGTTCCATAGTAGCATAATATATAGTAGCTAAAAATTAGGAAACAACCCAAATGTCCATAAACAATGAATGAATAAATAAAAAGTAGTTATATAATGAAATATTATTCTATAAAAAGGAATGAATCATGAGGATTGCTAATTCGAGGCCAGCCTCATCAACTTAATAAGGCCCTAAGCAATTTAGCAAGACCCTGTCTCAAAATAAAAAATTTAAAAAAAAAAAGACTGGGGATGTGGTTCAGTGGTTAAGCTGCCCTAGGTTCAATCCCCTGTATTGGGAAGAAAAAAAATGGAGGTGGGGGGAGATGAAATACTGATGTATGCTACAACATGTATGAATCTTGAAAATATGTTAAGTAAAATAAGTCAGACACAAAAGGCTTCATATTACAAGACTATTTATATGAAATGTTCAGAATTGGCAAATCTATACATTAAAAAGTACATTGATGGTTGCCAGAGGCAGGAAAGAGGAAAAATAAGTGGCTACAAATGAGTATAGGGTTTTTTTTTGTTGTTGTTGTTGTTTTTTTTGGAGTAATGAAAAGATTCTAAATTTTAATTTTGGTGGTACTCAGCTCTGAATATACTAAAGATTATCAGACTATATAAAATGATGAATTGTATGTGAATTATATCTCAAGCTGTTAATTAAAAAAAGAAACAGGTAATAGGGTGAAAATCTCAGTTCCAGAGCCTTTGAGGAACAAGAAACAATTCAATGTAGGTACAATAGTATTAGTGGGAATGGGAGCGCCAGAAAAAGAGAATAGGTGTCAGGAGAGGGAAAAGGTAAGGTTGGTCATAGTGGACCTTCTAAATCTTGTCACACTTCAGTGATTTTTTTTTTCCAAAGATTGGAAAGAAACATTTCAAGCAAAACCTTCCCAGATTTTAAAACAGCACTGATTTAGTTAAGTAGTTTTAAAGTCCCCCTTTCCCAACGTGTTTACCAGTCTACTCTATTTATCCATCTACCTTCAACATCTAAATCAATATTAAAGCTCTAACTTTTCACAGTATTTCAAAGTCAATAATTTAGTAACCCTCAATGAAATGCCTGTGAGTGTATACTTGCAGAAACTCAACAAAAACCAGTGGATGCTGGTTCTGCATGAAGTACTGGAAGGTACACAAAAATACATACAGTCCCTAAGATACTTTTGTTCTCCGTGCACAAGCCATCATTAGCTGAGGCCCCATCCCAGCTTACTGGTTCTTCAGCCCTAAAAAGAACTGAGAAGAAAAAGTACATGCAGTGGAGATGTTTAGAAAATCAAAGGATAAAGGGAAAAATGGGAAATCTTTGGTCTCAAGCTTCAACAAAGTAAACAAACCTCAAGCCTATCCTAGTTTTTTTTCCCAAGTCCAAAACTCGGACCAGCCTTTGCTCAGCAGGGCACACCCCCTTCACAAGCTTTGCTTTTAAAAAGTAACCTCAGCAGTTACTAACATCCAGAAGCTGAAATGGAGCTGCTGGGAATCACTACTCTTGTTCTTGGAATTTCTGTCACTTGTCTGATTTTTCTTTTTGTGTTGATGAAAAGTCCCACAGGGAAGGCTTCCCCCACCCTATCT